AGGCTTCCTTATGCAAAGATATGCTCTCTGTGTGTGTACCTGATGCAGTATAATTTGTTAGCAATTTGTATCGACAGCTCCTGCACTCCAAAAGCTGTTAGGCCCTTAAGGGAAATTTCCCCACATAATAAACTACAAGTGCTTCTTTGCAGAACATGACTGGCATTTGGGGTGGGCAGCTGGGGCCTTACTTTTGCCAAGGGTTGACTGACTTGGCACAGGATCTGGAAGGGCGCAAGGCTGCATTGCATACCTACCAGGTCCCACACCACATAAGAGTCCACTCTGCACTGGCCATGCTATGACAAGGCACGGGACTCTGAGACATTCAGTTTGTGCATCTCATCCCCCTCCTTTCTCACACACAATGGTCCCGTTCTGTGACAAGTAAAGGCCTTTAAAATATTTACATCTGGGACTCAAGTTTAACTTTGCTGATTTGCAGTTTCTAGGTATCAAGAGAGAATGCCCGTATAACACACACACACACACACACACACACACAATTTGTGCAATGAAGGTAGGCCAGGATGCTTAAAAGTTTCCCTGAGAATTCCTTGATATACAGCCTAACAATGGAGAAACAGGGAGCAGTGGTTTAACTTATAGAAAATGTGTGCTAGTTAATCTAAAAATGAAGGTACATTGTATAATCTTAAAACCTTCATACAAGAGAACAAGGGTGTACTAAAGAAAATTGCATAGCTGGTGGGTAGACAATAATAAAAATATGAAATGTAAATAGAAATGTGTGTATTAGTGCCCATAATGGGGCCAGCTAACACTTAGGGTACCTTTTATGGGAACCAAGGGAAGTCCCCACTCACACACAGTGGTGGCATTTAGGAGAGCTAAAATTTGTGAGCGCGCTGTGTTTTTGCACAATTGTGGTAGCCTCTCTCCCCACAAGCTGCAAATGGCCACACATATGTGTCGTGAAGTGATAATTGGTTCAAAACCAAAAGAACTCCAAAAGTCATGCCTGAGTCTTTACAAAATCTCATTGTCATATAGGGATGTGCATACAGATATATCCGTTCCGAATATATAACTCAAAAATACCTTATCAATATTTTCCAGATATATTCAGGTCTCCAGATGGTACCTGGGATTTTCCAGGATACCAGGAAATATTTGGGATTAACTGGAAATATCGGGAGCCAGTGTTTCAAGGCTTCCAGGACAGTGTTTTCTTTATTTTTCTGCTGTATCTGTCTTCCCAGGGCTTGGTATCAGCTTCCAATGTTGGTTTCACAATGAGTGTCCTTTTAAATTGGTTTTGTTGGTCTTCCAACATTGCATTCTTTACATGAATTGCTTGTCAGGTTTGCTTTTTGCAGTGGATTTTAAGGGGTTGACAGGTTGTATATTGGCTCAGATTTTCTGATTTTACATTTGTTGGGCTTGGACAGTGGTCCTGTCCCCTGTGGCACAGATGATTATGTTAGACATTGGGTTGGATTCTCAGGTTATGTATTATAGTTGTGTTAAGCTCGCCACATTGTTCCGCAGTTGCTTGGATTCCCTGGTTCTGCACTGGTTCTTTGGGTTTGTTCATTCCGTCTGCTTGAGAGGCTTTTGGCCAGGGGCTGCTTTGCTTGCTCTTGTGTCTTTGATTGTTCTTTGTCCTGGAGAAAGTATGGAACCCCCCTCGCCAAAGCAAACAATGGAGGGTGGCTTGGGGCACCCTGTTCTGGTGGTCCAATTCACTTGAAATTTGGAGGTTATTTAAAGAACAGGCACCTGCAGCTTTGCTGCAATTTGGGGGCAATTTGTTCAAAACCCGTCCCTCCAGACATTCAGAGAGATTCTGCATAGAGAAGAGGGCTACCAAATAATGTCAGAATCCGGGGGGTGGGGGTGGCTCCAAATACCAAATCTGTATTTGGAACACGGGAAACTGGGAATACCAATATTTTTCAGCTCCCTGATATCCAGATATGAAAAACACCAATTACTTTCAAGCTGCACATCCCTGTAGTCTTCACCACATGTACTTTAAGAGGGGCTGTTTTATAGTTTATGGAAGCCTTAATTATCAGACAACCAATCTTGTATATTAAAGTTTTTATTCTTTAGTAAGACTTGTTCGTTTAAATCACAATATGATAGTAGCATTCATGGAGTGTTGGAAAATACCAAATATAAAGACTGGTTCCTAATATCTCACATACTAAACTGTTCTTAAAAACAGCTGATTTCTTGCAGACAGTATTTACTTTTCAAAAATAATTTAAGACCGCGTAAGCTTGTACCAAGCATAAGCATTGTAACAAAAGTTCACCTCCCCCCCCCAGCAATTCCTCTTCGAAGAGTTATTTTAAACTCAAAATATTGTAACACATCTTTTCAAAAAAATAGTGTGTCAGGCATCATTCACTGTATATATTAACAACTATTTACATACAGCCACTCAGTAGGCTAGTAAGATTTTTTTAAAAAAAGAAAAGAAAGAAAAGAAAATACCAGTGTCATTTAAACACAGCATTTGAGGCAGACAGCAGCAGCAGCAGCAGCAGAAAATGCACCCCCCCCCCAAATGACTAAGAGGCCCCTGGCATTCTCTCCCTCCCCAACTGTTGTAGCTCACCTCTTATATAACATTCAAGTGAGACTTCTCACAGTGCTACCTTGGCAACAAACTAAAAATATCTAGGCAAGGTTCTTGGCTTAAGCCTTATTAACAAAGCTTTAGCAGTATGATTATCTGGCATCTGGCAACAGTCCCCAGAAAGGGAAATTTGGATGTTTGGAGACAGAAAGACCCTGTGACTAAGTCTTGGCCCATCACCCTCCAATGCCCAGCACCCCTTTGACATTACTGACGGTTCTCTCTTCTGAGGATTTTCAACTTCTGTGCCTTTATAAGCAACTGGACAGGAAGCTTTCTCTACTGCTGGGCTTCCATGTTGGGAGAAGCTTTCTGCACTTTTTTTGTCCCACTAGAAGCAAGGGAGAGCCAGATGCTGAAGTACATCCACTCTTTCTCTTTCTCTCCCTCACACACACATTCTTTCAAGACTGCTAAACTGGCTGGACATGTCTCTGGGCATCAGTGGGGATGTGCACTTCTAGCAGGTAGGGCCAGTTCTCCACTCATGCCGTCCAAGCAAGCAGCTTCTTGGGATGACATAAGGAAAGGGCTCAGTAGCACAGGAGGTGCTGCAGCAGACCTTGGAGGGGAGAAACTTACCCTGTTTGGGGTGACCAAATACCTTGGACTGGCCTAGTAACTGGGGCAACTAGGGGTGCTTAGGGCATGTGTGTTTCAGCTGCTGTGAAAGGCACAAGGGCAAGGCTAGTGCAGAAATCTGGACACCCATTTTTTTTCCTTTCACCATAGTACAAGGTAAGCTTATGTTAGCATGGGGTAAACAACTCGATGCAGTGACGTTCCTTTCCATATAATAAGGTAATCTATAAAATCTGAAACAGAGCCGCATTAGCCATAACCATACAGGCAAATGGATTTACTTTAGCAAAACAAAAGGCTGTGGGATACCTCTCACATTTTTTGGAGCACTTAAACCCTCCTGGTTGAAGTCAGGGCAGCTCTGAGCACACAAGGCAACCCCAAGATTGGAACAAGGTCAATTCTCAATAAAGTGCAAACACAGGAAGGCTCTTCTCATCTCTACTCTCTCCCGCCTCCTGCCCCACCCCTGATCTTCCCACAAAGGGACTGATCCAGTAAGCCAACCAAGTGCAACTTCCCAAAAGAACTGAAAGAGAATCCCGTAGGAAAGACACTGGAAAAGTGAGGGGTATCCTTATCCTTCCTGTTTTCTCTCTTGTTCAACATGTTGGCTAGCATCCAGGAAATATGAGGCACACTCCTGTTCAGTGTTCCCTCTAAGCTGAGTTAGTGTAAGCTAGCTCACAGTTTTTTAGCCCCCGGTTCACACATTTTTGTCTTAGCTCAGGAAGGATGGCTCCAGAGCAAACTAATTTATGCAGTAGCCAAATCGCTCGCTCACAACTTTAATGCTGGTAGCTCACAAAGTAGAATTTTTGCTCAGAAGACTCCACAGCTTAGAGGGAACATTGCTCCTGTTGGTGGGCCATGGGGTGCAGGCCTACCACATTTCCCGGGTTCTCCCTGAACTCAGTTTGGACTGACTTCTAAGCAAACATGAACAGGACCTAGAGGAGCGGCACCTCCCGGAGTACTGCATGCATATCTAGAATCTGTCCCACTGGAATAAATGGTCTTTCACAACCAGATAAGATTAGAGGAGTGGCATGTGGCAGGAACAGTCAGTCCCACTGTTGTCAACCTGATTTGAATGCATTTTGCTTCAAAGATTGTGCCTAAAGACTTTTTGAGAGTCACGAAGTTGTCAACAGTTCATCAGCAAAGGCTCTGGGGATCTTAGGCTGCTCTCCTCAAAACTGCTTATTACAGAGTAATGACACAGACTACTTCTAAGTAAGACGAGCCCATGGAATTCTGAGGGAATGGATTCCCCAAGCCAGAGTGCTGACAATCCCAGCATTAGTTACCTCTGAAGGAAGAAGCCCTTTACACTAAAGACCCACACACACACACGCGTGAGTACAATCCACCGGAAAATTCTTCAGCACAAAAATCCACTGAAGTGACTGGGGGATGCCCAAGAGCATACTAAGGTAGTTGCATCATTCCCTTCATTCCGACGGGGAGCATGCAAATGTCAGTGGGCAGCATCCCTCATTTTTGAGTCAGGCACGGGAGACCTCGCTCCATACATTATTACTATGATGACATCCATGTGCCCTTGATTACAATTTCAGTACAATATCCCACATATTGCCTATTCAATCTAAGATGCAGTGCACCCCCTCCCTTTCCCTGAATCTTAGAACCCTTTCAATACATCGAAAGTTCAACTTCCCTCCCCCAAAGCGCTCTCTCCATTTGCTTCTCTTTGGCGGGGAGGGAGAAATTGGCACACTTACAAAATGTGTGTGAATGAAAAACGTTGTTTGGAAATATAAGAAATGCATTGGGGGAGTGAGAAAGGAGTTCTCTAAAAAGTTATGGGGGGGGGGGAGAGAAGAAACCACCTCTTTCCCCTGATAATAAATGGCCCACCTAGTCCAGTTCTCCTTTAAAAGCATTCATGGAGAGGGGAAAGGCTTGCTGTCCATTCTTACAAGGGACGAATCTTTCCTCCTGAGTAGGAATCATGAACAGTGTGGCTCGTTTCCTAGGGTGCAGAACCCTCACAGCTTTTCCTTTCCAGGTGGCAAAGGCTGCTCTTGGGAGGGGGGCTCTGCGTCCATGCTGAATGCTCCAAGGCTGCAGGCGAAAGGGTGAGGAAGGTGCTGGGCAGGAGACGCAACCTCGGGAGACAGGAGAGTTGAGGAAGAGGGACCGGCTTTCTCTGCTGATGCCAACACTGGGGAGAGGCAGGGGAAGGCAGCTGCTGTGGCTGCAGGAGCAGCCACTGCAGCCTGAGCCGGAGTTCCTGGGTGGATCAAAGGAATGGAAACAGCGGAGGCCAAACAGAGATATTTCTCCAGGTTGCTCTTGTCCAGGAAGGGCTGCATGTAGGCGGCAGCTGCCAACGGGGAGATGAAGTAGAAAGGCAGGCAGAAGGGAGCGGCTGGTTGCTGGCCAAAGGCCCCTCCGCCACCCCTGCCTCCGCCTGCCCCCAGAGTACCAAAGGACGCCAGGGAGCTCAGCAGGGCTGGGTCTAGTCTCAAGAGGGCAGCCACTGCTTGTTCAGGGCTCGGCATCCCAGAGGCAGGGCTGCTGTTGCTGCTGTGGTGGTCCAGCTTCAGCCTCTTGGCCGTGGGGGATGCCTCGCCCCCCGAGGGCTCCTGCTTGACCACCATGTGGCTCTGGCTCTTCTCACCCTCCGGCCTACCTTCCCCCTCCCCGCCATAGCCACTGTCCGTGTCCGTGTCGTTCTCCCCAAGCTCTCCACTGCTGTGGTGAGGGGCGCTGCTGCTGCTGCTGCTGTTACGAGTCCGCTGGATGACCGGCACACAGTGTGGCTGGCCCTCCAGTTTGGGGCCAGCCTGCTCTTGCCGCCCAGGGGAGGCCAAGGAGGTGGGGCACATGGGTCCCTGGCGGCCACAAACCCTGGAGGTTGGCAGCTGGGGGCTGGGCAAGAACCGGGTGCAAACCGCATGCAGGTGGCTGATGAGCTGAGTGTATCGCTGCTCCCGGGGAGTCCAGCTCTCACGCTTGGAGAGGTACTGCAAGACTTCTTTGGTGCATGTCTGGAATCCTGAGTGGAAAGCATCCAGGTCAGATTGCAGGGGAGACTTCAGAGGCCGGTCGCCTGCAACGAGGGATGGGAAACAGTAGCAAAGGAGTCAGTCTCAATACCCCTGGAACTACGGGCATGACATAACTCTGCCTGTCCCTTGTCTAAAAAATTACCAGGATACATGAATGTTTACACCCTACCATTACGCTTGAGACTCAAAGGTATCAGTACTTAATCAACACCTGCGGTTTATGAAATGCTACTGAGAAGAGGAGGGGGCTGTCTGTGCTTCCATGGGAGACTGCTATCCTCAGCTGCCTTGCTTGGAAGTACGTGCCACTGGATTCAGGAGTCTCTCAGTAAAGTGGCACAGAACTGGGTGACACAGCTGCCATCCTCGGCTCAACGGTTTGAGAAGACGCCTGACAGCTCAGTCCCAAGTCCCCTGCACACTTCAGCAGGCAGCCCCAACTGAACTCAGTGGGACTTGCTTCTGAGTAAACTTACATGTTCAGACTACAGCACTGCCATCCTAGGCATACTGACTTGACAGAAAAACCCGACTAAAATCAGTGCGACTAGTAAACATGTACAGGGTCGGACTGCAAAACACATACCACTTAATCTGAACAGTCCCACCCACGTCTGCGTGGCAGCAGTAACTCTCCCCTGGAATCTGTCGAAGGCACTGTGTCACAATTCCTTTTCAATCAGAAAGAATGTCCCTTGTGATCGCCAGACTGTTCGGTCTGGGGTTTTCCTCTCTGCCCAGCCATCTCTCGTGTGAGTTTATGTGCTGCAGTTTACTCACCATTCTGTAAAGCAATGATCTTCTGATGCTGTTGCTCCGTTAAGGCTGTCAGAGCTTTTAAGTGTTTTAAAGTCAATTCCAAGATGACCGCTTTCTCCAGATGCCCCAGCGTCTGCCAAACGAGAAAGGGCCTCGTGATTAGCCATCATCACAGAAAAGCAGCCCTTATCCTTCCCCAAACTTTACCCACCTCACCTAGTATAGAATGCTTGCTCTGCCTGAACTGATGGCATTCACGTACGGATGCACTTGCACCCAGTGTGAAACATCTGCAGAATTGGGGTGTTTCTCTGGTGGAGCCACCCAGGGGAATGTTCTCATTACGTTGGGAGGGGGGGCCTGTGATCCTCCAGAATCCCTACTAAATGTATGGAAACTCTAAAACCATTAACAAACTCCTCTAGTCCAGCATTATTTTTGAGACTGCTACACTGTACACTTTTACTTAGAAGTAAGCCCTGCTTCTAAGCAAGATTTAATTCTGAGTTAATACAACTTAACGGAGTATTCCCACCCCCACCCCCAACATATGCCTTATTCTTTAACTGCAAAGACTTTGCCAAATTACAGCTTTGAGACTGTAGTCACTAGTTTAAGATTCAGATGGACAGAGAAAGGCACGCTGGCCGTATGCATACACACACAGGTTGGACTTACTGTCAATTTCAGATGCTCGGGTAATAAATCTTTCAGCTGAGCAATGCACTCGTTAATCCGATCTCGCCGCTTTTTCTCTATCAATCTGTGTGGCAGTTTGTAGGTTTCCTAATGAAAATCCAGGCAGGAGGACAAACAGTACATTTACCAGAATGCCAATCAATATTTTAGCGCCTTTCCTGCGAGCCAGCCACCACCACCCCACTCCTTCTGTATTTTAAGAAGCCCCAGAGAATTCCCCCTCCATCCACCCCCATACAGCCTGCTGTTAGCTAACAAATAAAACCCTACTGAGAGCAGAGAGGGAGTCCAGCAGCAGAATGAAGAGGGGCTGCTGCTCCTAGTCAAGCTCAAATCCATGCCCATTCTGCAGAAAGTATCCCACAGGTCTGGAAGACTACTGGAAACTTTATTTGTACCTTGCTGTCCTCTCTCTTCATGCCTCTTTTGGGTTTGCACATATACAAGGATGGATAATCCAGTCTGCAAAAAGGGTGGGGGACAGAAAGGAAAGAGAAACTCAGCTCCTGTCAGAGAGAAGCACTGTCCTCTCTGCTTGTCATGGGGGGGGGGGGTGAGAGACCCCAGACCCCACCTCTGCATTTGTCAATGGGGTTAGGTGTGCAGATCCAAAGACTTAAACGGTGTGTCAAACCAAAAGCAAAGACCACAACAAAAAGCACTGAACGCCACTGCTCAAAGCTCCCCCTCCCGACTTGCGCCAGGAGTTTCCAGGGCACGTCAGAATGGGCCCCCCTGCATGGCAGGCGGAGTGCCGGCCGCTTACCCGAGAAAGTCGCGGTGTTCCAGCCCCTGCCTGTCTTGCCCGCGAGCGACCCCTTCCTCCATGCTGGCCGGCGTCTCCGGCTGGGTTTGGGCGGATACGGCCGCCAGGCTCCGACTCTCCCGGAGCCAAGCCGCGGCACATACAGGCAGCCCGTTGGCCTGGGCTGTGGGGCAGCAGGGAGCGTGCCAGCCGCGTCTCTGTCTGGCTCCGTGTCCCTGGTCCCCGCCGGCAGCGGCAGCGGCAGCCCAGCCGCGCTCGTCTGCCCTCAGCCAGCAGCGCTTTGGCCAGCGGGGCACGCGCGTCGCCAGCCCGCCCCAGCCGCCGCCTCACGCGCAGAACGTACCATGCAGCCGCCCGGCTCGCGGAGGAGGAGGGACGCCGCCGGGCGGGGACTCCTTGGCGGGGGCAGACGGAGAAGCCGTCGCCTTCCCGGGCGCAACGCAGACACCTCGGGACGGGAGGGGGCGCACTTGAGCTCGCCGAGGCCTTGCTCCGTCCGCGCTGCGGGGCGGAGGGAGACGGGCAGCCTCAGGGATCGTGGCGGGGAGAAAGGAAGAAGAAAGCAAAGGGGATAGAGCAGCCTTCCAAGCCTAGCCGTTGGCTTTGGGGGGAGAGTGATAAACGGACGACCGCTTAAGCGCGCCTGCCTCGTCCACCCTGGAGCCCCGCAGCCACACGTGTCCGGCGACTTCCGTGTTCTGAGCTCCCAGAGGCTCAAATGAAACAAATCAGGCTGTGTTGTCGCGGGGAGGCATCGCGGTCCCGACTGGGCTTCTGACAATTATTTTTAGAAAAGGAAATCTCTCCAATGTCCATGAATTAACGTGCATAGGAGCGTCCCGGTCCGCCCCTTATGTCCAAATCCCTTGCGCGACTCCTCGACAGAACCAAAGGCTCCCGGCTTCTGAGTCAGCACGTGTGGATGGCGGCATCGCCTCCTTTGTGCGCTCCCAGGGGAGTAAGGCTGCAGGGGCTCGGGCAGCGGCCTCTCGACGCTGACTTCTCCCTTGCGACACGAAAGTGCCACGGGGGGAGGCGTGTCTAGGGCTAGGAGCCCTTTCGGAATGGATTCGCTGTCAAAGTTATGTTTGGCGTCTTGGACTGAGCGCAGGACACGTATTCTGACCTCAGACGTGCACTGGGGGCCCCGCGTCGGGATCTCCAAAACTCAGTTCTCCGGCGCGCATGGCTGGGAGCACCTGACACAGCGCACGTTTGAACTGGCAGCATCGAGCATGCCTGCCACGGTCATTTCTGCGCCAGCGTCCCTGTTCACTCGGATCGGACACCTCGTGTGCCCGTCTCCGGGGAAAAGCCTGTCCTTGTACCGCAAAGCCAGAAAGCGCTTAAGTAGCTTCGCTCAACTGTGCATCCGGAGGGAGGGGGCCCCGCTGGCGGCCGGGTGCTGTTTCGACAGAGGGAGGGGAGGTGGAGAGCCGTAACCAGCGTTTGCCAGCCGGCCGCCGCCAGCCTTCGCAGCGAGCCGCCGCCGTGGTCGTGCCTGGACAGGGTGCGTGACTGGCCATCCGCCTGCCCACGGCCCTGCGCTCGCCTTCCGGCAGCCAGTCGCCGAGCGGCGCCGGCACAAGGCTTGCCACGTGAGGTCAGCGGCTCCTGCCGCGGCGGCTCTGCAGCCCGCGGGCGGGGGCCGGAGGACGGAAAGCGGGCCCCGGCCTCGCCTGGCGCGGCGCGTCTCGGGGAGGAAGCCCGGCCAGTTGTTCTAGGCCGAAAACAGCCGCAGACATGCCTGCCCCTCATATCTCTATACAGACATGCACGTATTCTGGGATTGCACATGATTTAGCGGCGGGGGGGGGGTGGATGGTGCACGGTCCCAGAAGCTTGCTGATGCGAGGCCGGGGCCAGGCCGCAGCCCTTGCACAGCCCGGTTTGTCTGGGTCAGTCGTCAAGTATTACTGAGGGGGTGGGGGAGGGGCGACCGTCGCGCAACAGCCAGCAAGCTGTGGAGGCGGTGGCGGTGAGGGGGGCCAAGATGCGGCATTGAGTTGAGAGGAGTGTAGTTCGCAGGGTGAGCCAAAGAACCTTCCATGTAGTGTTTGGGTATTCTGTGCCTGGGGACGCATTCTGAATGCGGAGTCATGATGTACTAAAAGGAAAGACGGGATTGCCCATTGGAAATAATGGGAGAGACTTGAAGGCCCATTGGAAATAATGGGAGCCAGGAAGCCAATTGACTTGCATGGGCTCCATTGAAATACATACAGCTCAAGAAGAAAATGCGGAATGGATCTTCCATTAAAGTATCTGGTCCAAAATACACTGCTCTGGGACTGGAAAGACAGGCCCCAGAGTGGAATGACAGCCCCAGGGGGTAGCAGGAGTGTTCTGGGACCGGAATGACAGGTCCCACAGTGGAATGACAGTCACTGGGGGTGGCAGATGTGTCCTGAGGGTGGAATGACAGGCCCCACAGTGGAATGACAGCCCCTGGGGGTGGCAGGAGTGTTCTGGGACTTTAATGACTGGCCCCAGAGTGGAATGACAGCGCCCAGAGTGGAATGACAGCGCCCAGAGTGGAATGACAGCCCCTGGTGGTAGCAGGAGTGTTCTGGGACTAGAATGACAGCCCCTGGGGGTAGCAGATATGTTCTGGGAGTGGAATCACAGGCCCCACAGTGGAGTAACCTGTCATTTCAGTCTCTGGACACATCTCCTACCCCCCTGGGCTGTCAGTCCACTCTGGAGCCTTTCATTACAGTCCCAGAACACTCCTGCTACCCCCAGGGGCTGTCATTCCACTATGGGCCTGTCATTCCCCCCTCAGAACAGTCCTGCTACCCCCAGGGGCTGTCATTCCACCGTGGGGCCTGTCATTCCAGTCCCAGGACACATCTACCCCCCTGGGGTGTCATTCTACTCTGGGGGCTGTCATTCCACTCTCAGAACACATCTGCTACCCCCAGGGGCTGTCATTCCACCCTGGGGCCTGTCATCCCAGTCCCAGAGTAGTGTATTTGGGACCAGAGGCCTTAATGGAAGATCCATTCAGCATTTTCTTTGCAATTCTTCTTGAGCTGTAATGTATTTCAATGGAGCCCATGCAAGTCAATTGGCATTCCTGGCTCCCATTATTTCCAATGGGCCTTCCAAGTCTCTCCCATTGTTTCCATGGCAATCCTGTCCTTCCTTTTAGTACATATCTGCGGAGTCTGCACTGCGTGTCTGGCCCCGGCTTTGTTTATAACACGCTTCTGCTCGCCACCGGTACTTGGGAGTAAACTCCGTGACCCTCAAGGCACTTCTAACCATGTAAGCGTGCCTTAGCGCACACCGGGTCTGGGTCGACGCAAGGCAGGGGGGTTGCCTTGGGGATACATCAGGCACACCTGCTGCCATTTAGCACGCCCCACTGAGACGTCTGGGTGCAAGCTTTTACCGCAGCTTAGAAAGGAACACGTAGCACCTGAGAATGCAGCCTGAAAGGGGTTGAGCAGCTTAGATGGGTACGTTCTATGCTGTGCCT